CAAACTCTGTTCTGTACATTCTAATTCCGTTGTTTTCATTCAAACTCTGTTCTGTATATTCTAATTCTGTTGTTTTCATTCAAACTCTGTTCTGTACATTCTAATTCCGTTGTTTTCATTCAAACTCTATTCTGTACATTCAAATTCTGTTGTTTACATTCAAACTCTGTTCTGTACATTCTAATTCCGTTGTTTTCATTCAAACTCTGTTCTGTACATTCTAATTCCGTTGTTTTCATTCAAACTCTTTTCTGTACAATCTAATTCCGTTGTTTTCATTCAAACTCTGTTCTGTACATTCTAATTCCATTGTTTTTATTCAAACTCTGTTCTGTACATTCTACTTCCGTTTTTCATTCAAACTCTGTTCTGTTCATTCTAATTCCCTTGTTTACCTTTTGTGTCTGTGAGTTTGCGTTTGGGTCCTCTCCTGCCTGCCACACAGCCGAAACATGACATCTACATTCTAATTCCATTGTTTTGATTCAAACTCTGTTCTGTACATCATAATTCCGTTGTTTTCATTCAGAGTCTGTTCTGTACATTCTAATTCCGTTGTTTTAATTCAAACTCTGTTCTGTACATTCTAATTCCGTTGTTTTCTTTCAAACTCTGTTCTGTACAATTCAGTTTTTTTTATTCTAATTCCATTGTTTTCATTCAAACTCTGTTCTGTACATTCTAATTCCGTTGTTTTCATTCAAACTCTGTTCTGTACATTCTAATTCCGTTGTTTTCATTCTAATTCTGTTGTTTGTTTTAATATTCCATTGTTTTCATTCTAATTCTGTTGTTTTCATTCAAATTCCATTGTTTTGATTCAAATTCAGTTCTGTTCATTCTAATTCCGTTGTTTTCATTCAAACTCTGTTCTGTACATTCTAATTCCGTTGTTTTCATTCAAATTCCGTTTTTTTCATTCAAGCTCTGTTCTATACATTTCAATTCTGTTGTTTTGATTCAAATTCCATTGTTTCTTTCAAATTCTGTTCTCTACATTCTAATTCCGTTGTTTTCATTCAACTCTTCTGTACATTTCAATTCTGTTGTTTTGATTCAAATTCCATTGTTTTCTTTCAAATTCTGTTCTCTACATTCTAATTCTGTTGTTTTCATTCTAATTCTGTTGTTTGTTTTAATATTCCATTGTTTTCATTCTAATTCTGCTTTTTTTCATTCAAATTCCGTTGTTTTCATTCTAATTCCGTTGTTTTTTTTATTCAAACTCTGTTCTGTACATCATAATTCCGTTGTTTTCATTCAGAGTCTGTTCTGTACATTCTAATTCAGTTTTTTTATTCAAACTCTGTTCTGTACATCATAATTCCGTTGTTTTCATTCAAACTCTGTTCTGTACATTCTAATTCCGCTTTTTTCATTCAAACTCTTCTGTACATTTCAATTCTGTTGTTTTGATTCAAATTCCATTGTTTTCTTTCAAATTCTGTTCTCTACATTCTAATTCCGTTGTTTTCATTCAAACTCTGTTCTGTACATTCTAATTCCGTTGTTTACATTCAAACTCTGTTCTGTACATTTCAATTCTGTTTTTTTTATTGTAATTCCATTGTTTTTATTCAAACTCTGTTCTGTACATTTCAATTCTGTTGTATTAATTCAAATTCCATTGCTTTTTTTCAAACTCTGTTCTGTACATTCTACTTCCGTTTTTCATTCAAACTATGTTCTGTACATTCTAATTCCGTTGTTTTCATTCAAACTCTGTTCTGTACATTCTAATTCTGTTGTTTTCATTCAAATTCTGTTCTGTACATTCTAATTCCGTTGTTTTCATTCAAACTCTGTTCTCTACATTCTAATTCTGTTGTTTTCATTCAAACTCTGTTCTTTACATTCTAATTCTGTTGTTTTCATTCAAATTCCATTGTTTTGATTCAAATTCAGTTCTGTTCATTCTAATTCCGTTGTTTTCATTCAAACTCTGTTCTGTACATTCTAATTCTGTTGTTTTGATTCAAATTCCATTGTTTTTCCATTGAACTGAATTTTAATCAAAACAATGGAATTTGAATGAAAACAACAGAATTAGAATGAAAACAATGGACTATTAATACATTCTAATTCCGTTGTTTTCATTCAAACTCTTTTCTGTACATTCTAATTCCTTTGATATCATTCAAACTCTGTTCTGTACATTCTAATTCCGTTTTTTTCATTCAAACTCTGTTCTGTACATTCTAATTCCGTTTTTTTCATTCAAACTCTGTTCTGTACATTTCTATTCTGTTGTTTTGATTCAAATTCCATTGTTTTTATTCAAACTGTTTTGTACATTCTACTTCCGTTTTTCATTCAAACTCTTTTCTGTATATTCTAATTCTGTTGTTTTCATTCAAAGTCTGTTCTGTACATTCTAATTCCGTTGTTTTCATTCAAACTCTGTTCTGTACATTCAAATTCGGTTCCAAAGTACCAAAGTCTGTTCTGTACATTCTAATTCTGTTGTTTACATTCAAACTCTGTTCTGTACATTTCAATTCTGTTTTTTTTATTCTAATTCCATTGTTTTCATTCAAACTCTGTTCTGTACATTTCAATTCTGTTGTATTAATTCAAATTCCATTGTTTTTTTTCAGACTCTGTTCTGTACATTCTACTTCCGTTTTTCATTCGAACTCTGTTCTGTACATTTTAATTCCGTTGTTTTCATTCAAACTCTGTTCTGTACATTCTAATTCCGTTGTTTTCATTCTAATTCTGTTGTCTGTTTTAATATTCCATTGTTTTCATTCTAATTCTGTTGTTTTCATTCAAATTCCATTGTTTTGATTCCAATTCAGTTCTGTTCATTCTAATTTCGTTGTTTTCATTCAAACTCTGTTCTGTACATTCTAATTCCGTTGTTTTCATTCAAATTCCGTTTTTTTCATTCAAGCTCTGTTCTATACATTTCAATTCTGTTGTTTTGATTCAAATTCCATTGTTTTCTTTCAAATTCTGTTCTCTACATTCTAATTCCGTTGTTTTCATTGAAACTCTTCTGTACATTTCAATTCTGTTGTTTTGATTCAAATTCCATTGTTTTCTTTCAAATTCTGTTCTCTACATTCTAATTCTGTTGTTTTCATTCTAATTCTGTTGTTTGTTTTAATATTCCATTGTTTTCATTCTAATTCTGCTTTTTTCATTGAATTCCGTTGTTTTCATTCTAATTCCGTTGTTTTTTTTTATTTAAACTCTGTTCTGTACATTCTAATTCTGTTTTTTTCATTCAAACTCTGTTCTGCACATTCTAATTCCGTTTTTATCATTCAAACTCTGTTCTGTACATTTCAATTCTGTTGTATTGATTCAAATTCCATTGTTTTTTTTTCAAACTCTGTTCTGTACATCCTATTTCCGTTTTTTTCATTCAAACTCTGTTTTGTACATTCTAATTCCGTTGTTTTCATTCTAATTCTGTTGTTTGTTTTAATATTCCATTGTTTTCATTCTAATTCTTTTGTTTTCATTCAAATTCCGTTGTTTTCGTTCTAATTCCGTTGTTTTTTTTATTCAAACTCTGTTCTGTACATCATAATTCCGTTGTTTTCATTCAGAGTCTGTTCTGTACATTCTAATTCTGTTGTTTTCATTCTAATTCTGTTGTTTGTTTTAATATTCCATTGTTTTCATTCTAATTCTGCTTTTTTTCATTCAAATTCCGTTGTTTTCATTCTAATTCCGATGTTTTTTTTATTCAAACTCTGTTCTGTACATTCTAATTCCGTTGTTTTCATTCAAACTCTGTTCTGTACATTCTAATTCTGTTGTTTTCATTCAAAGTCTGTTCTGTACATTCTAATTCCGTTGTTTTCATTCAAACTCTATTCTGTACATTCAAATTCTGTTGTTTTCATTCAAACTCTGTTCTGTACATTCTAATTCGGTTGTTTTCATTCAAACTCTGTTCTGTACATTCTAATTCCGTTGTTTTCATTCAAACTCTTTTCTGTACAATCTAATTCCGTTGTTTTCATTCAAACTCTGTTCTGTACATTCTAATTCCATTGTTTTTATTCAAACTCTGTTCTGTACATTCTACTTCCGTTTTTCATTCAAACTCTGTTCTGTTCATTCTAATTCCGTTTTTTCATTCAAACTCTGTTCTGTACATTTTTGATTCAAATTCCATTGTTTTTCCATTGAACTGAATTTGAATCAAAAACAATGGAATTTGAAAGAAAACTACAAAATTAGAATGAAAACGGTCCGTGTACTTTTCGGTATTTGAAGTTTTGTTTCAGAAACCAAAACGAAAAAACGATATTTAAAAGAATTTTCATTTTTTAAATTTTTGATAAAGAATAAAATGGGCGAAAATAACTTGTTTTTTTCATTCGGTGGTAACAAATAGCCGTCATACACTTAAAATTAGACGTGCTTTTTTGGATTTCTTCGTGATTCAAATAATGAAAGTATACTAGCGCAAAAACAAAAAAATAGACGCATTTTCAATGTCTGAAACGGGAAGTACTTCTTCTGCGCGTTTTTTTATGGCGCGCGCACACCGTCCCCCACACAAGAGATCGACGGCCTTAAAGTTACACTGGAATAAACAGAGGATGGACCATTACGTTGTTTTTAGGAAAACTAAGAGAGTGACACTCCGGACGAAGACATGACTGCAGAAAAACTGGGTCGCATCTTTCAGGTAGATATGTAAACTTCGCAAACTTTGCTTTCAGCAGTTTTTTTATGAACGTTATTGTTCTTCCTTACTGCGGAACGGCTAACGTTAACATTTGGTGATTCATGTAGGCCTACTTTTACTAATACTATGTCTAGCCGTCTTCATTGTGCTAATATGTGAATTGTGCACATGTGCTAATGTGTAAATAGTTATTCATTGACTTTTACCGGCTACTAGCTAATAAGTAAGCCTTTAGAGCCTATTAACCGTGTGCACAGGAGTAACACGTTAGCAGAGCAACGTGATTTACGGAAACTTTGTACATCACGGATGATTCAAACGTGGCTATGTTCCCCGGTGCGGTCTCTGGTGTTTTCAGCGCATTAGACCTTACACCCAGAGGTCACTATGAAGTCCACGGAGAAGACATGGAGTCAATTCCAACAGCAGGTTCCAGCGGGCAGCGTTTTGCATTTATGCGAGCACCAGCTGTGGCAGCGTCTGCACCTTCACGTTCACAGCAGGCTACTTCAAGTTCCCCTATGTCCTCCAAAACATTTCAGAGGTAGGATGAGTCTGTGTTCTTGAATATTAAATTACAGAACAGGCAAAATAAAAAGAAACATAAGGTGCATGGATAGTTGAATTGTTAAGAATAGCAAAGCTGTTTTAGTACAATTTGCCTATAGCAATCACTGAATGGATTTGTGGCCTGCTGTCTTTTACAAGATATGTAAAATTATTATGTTTTGTTTTACAGATCAGTGTACTTTGCAGATGTAGTTGGTGGGAGGTTGATTCCCAATAGAATGGTGGTTGTACGATTCCTGGAGTCTGAGGCTACGCTTCAAGGGATAGTAGGAAAAGTGCAAGATGCCATTGGTAATTACAACCCAATAATTTTGACAGATGCACAGGGCAATGCAATTCTGGAGTCGGAGGGCACAACAGGTGAGCCATAATATTACAGCTAAAGCCCATATCTTATGGAGAGACATGTCTTACCAGACTCTTTGTAATATTTATTGGGTAATATGGTATTGGCTTCTAAACAGGTTTCTTTGGTTTTGTTTTTCATCTGTAGGGTCACAGTACTGGAGACAAAATGCACGAAAAATTCTTGCTGTGCCTGAACAAGACTTTAATTGCCTCCAGGGAACAAAGAGGAAGAAACTGAGGTATGTGAATAAATATGTATATACTATAGGATGAACATCAATATAGAAGAATTAATTTGATTTAAATCCTATAATAGCAGTAAGACATCACTACATAAATCATCATCTATCAGTAAGTGATGTGATGTTTCTTTAAGCCAGTAAGTAGCTTTGACATCTGATTATCCATTTTTATTTGTAGCAGCCGTAAAGATGATGACAGTGCCAGTTTGGGAGAAGTGAGTGACAAAATAGAAGAGTTGGTGTTGGCATCTCAAAGTCTGCCAGCTGTCACAGCAGCAATCAAAGAGCTCACTGATCTTGCAGTTGCCCAGAAAGTCACAACCCCCAAGCTGCAGACACTCAAGGAGGGATTTAGCTGCGTGGTTTGTATGAGTATGTTCAAATGTTGCTTAGTAAATACATTACATCTACACTAACATTTTAATTACAATTAAAACAATGTCAAACCACATTCAATCATTACTTTGGACAAACATTTTTTTACCAAACATAGGCTCTTTATTCAGCAGTGTCCATTTAAATACTTAGGCACAGACAATCAAGATGCAGGTCTACTGTAACATAACATTCAAAAGTTTACATGCACATTTAATTTGGGTTCTCCTTGCAATCTTGACTATGAAAGTATAGCTTTTCAAATTGATTACAATGTCAGTATGGGTGACGGTACACTGTTCACAGTAATGTAAAACTAAAAAGTTCACATTTAAAATGGGACTGTAGTTGCATATATTGAATCAAGTACCTGTAACTTTTTCATTTTTCTTGCTTGCTAATTGAGAAAATGTACTGATTTTGCCCCTCATCAATTATAGACAAAAATATAGACAGGGACTTTCTCAGAACAGCGTGAACAAGAGGAATTACAGAATAACCAAAAATATTCTGCATGCTGTCTGTAAATTTATGTCAAGACTGACTTTGAACCTATAGTTTGAACTAAATTCAACATAAATGGATAACAGTCTCACTTATCTGATTTACTTTTGCAGACATCATTGAGGATCCAGTGTTCTCACTGTGCTGCAGAAGCATTATTGGCTGCAAGACATGTGTGGAACAGTGGCAAGAGACATCACAGCACTGTGCAAAATGCAGGGAGAGTAACAACGGAGTTCTACAAATTACTGGTCTAACAGCTGCATTTTCTGTATTGAAATCTTTTTTTGCAGAGGAGTAATGTAGTGTGTACACACAAATGTTTACAGTCAGTTGATTTTTTTTTTTGTCTGTTCTGTACAGTTTACAGATGCAGTGGTTCATACATTTCTCTGAGTTATGTTTATGAGACAGAGCAGAGCTTCTTTGTATGGCATAAAGTCACCATTTACGGCTCTAAAAAACAAATGTGAAATATCAGGATATTTTTCTGCAAAATGACTCTCTGTTCTAAGTTTGTCCTGTTCGGTTGTGAAGGGATCAACTCCAAAAGTCGAATATTCTTTGAGTGCAGATCCCAAGTGCTGCCTGTAAAGGTCTGCTGCTTCAAGTGCATTTGGCAAGAGCTCTGGAGAAATTCTTCTTTTACACCCATGTTCTGCAAAGTGATTTGGTATGCCTTTTCCTGTAAAAAATAGAGGAGGTGTTTAAATGTTCATTATCAGGGTTGTAAGCAATCTGACTTTTTTTTTTTTTTTTTTAACTGGGATTCTATGAGCATGCCATGATTCTACCACACTTGCAAGACCAATGTTACACAGCTGACAGGTTAGATTGGACACACAGTATCGCACAAGGTTATCCTCCATATCTATCTCCTCCTGGTCCATCAGCTGGAGTAGGGCAGTTTTTAGTGGGTAGTTGACACGGTTGTTGATTTCAGGCCAAATCCTTTCAACTGTGTGGTTCTAAAAGAGTTAAAAGAAACATGTCTTAAATGTACGTAGTAGTACACGTAATAGTATAAGAATTTCAGCTGATGTTAATGGTACTTAAATCTTACTCTTGTGGATGAGGTCTGTAAATAAGGCAGTCTCTCCTGATTGAAGCGATGATGTGACAGCATCTCTTGCATGAACAGTGTTAAATAAAATTCCTTTCCATGGTCTACTCGCACCTGGTCCCACATACCATAGGTGATCACTGCAGGTCTGGTACAGGAAAAATAAAGAACATTTATTAACTATTTTGCTTTAAGACCAGCAAAGGTGTTATTATTTTGAATGTATTCATTCATGTTTTTTTTGGGTAATATTTTAGTTGTAGTAGGACAACATATATTTCTTAAGTTTCTTTGCAATGTCACTGTCATGCTCAGACTTTAGATGTATGTCAGAACAATTGAAAGATATGTGGAAATCCAAGAACCTTGTTCCATTCATAAATGAACACTGATTAATTGCAATAAAGTAGTTAAATGATTCATTTGCAATTCCATTTTATTTATTTTTACATTAATAGAAAATGTTGATCAAAATGTTTGGTAAGTTCTTAATATATTATATTCAGGAACATAACCAGACCCATCTGTTGCATGTCTAATTTAAATTCAAATATTGTAAATTTGGGTGCAGCTCATGTCCAATATGACTAACATGTCCATCAAAACACTTAAGATGAAATAAATGGTTTGAGAGGTTGTATTACCTGAAAACATATTCATAGATGCTCAAGTTGTTTTTGATTGGCATTGTGGAATGACTCACAATCTTTTTACTGAATCCATCTACAGCTAAAACATGGGTGACTCCAAACATTACAAGTTTCTCGTTTTGGTCCAGGTGAACCTTGTGCCCCATGCATTCAGCATGGTACGGTGTGGGATTAAGATTCCGAGCTCCCTTACAAAAAAAAAATCACAAAAATAAATGACAGCTGACTGGATAAAGGCAGATTTGATCATACGTTTGAGGAAGAGTCAAGTAACTGTTAAAGCAGGGCGTACATCTGTTAAACAGAATTAGGCCCTACCATTACATGATGTATATCACAAATATGACAAAGAACATTGGAATACAGTTCTAGTGGAAGATTAAATAACATAGGCTACCTGGCGTCTTGCTTCATGATAAGGTTGATGCACCTCTCTTAAAATTGACCCAATTCGTCCCTCTGCAGCATGTACCCCTTTTGTGGACAGATAGCCCTTCATCATTTTGCGGCCATATGTTGGGCCCACCTGTTTAAAATAAAAGATCATGCTACTACTAGAACAACAAATGTAAAGTAGCTTATTCTGAAAGCAAATGTGTAAAGCTAAAGTATTGTGCTAATTAACTGTACAAATACCAGTGAGAGACATCTTTAAAATAACTAACGTTACCCACCACCCGCAAGACGCTAAAACGCGCGGGCGCGCGCACACAGTCTAGACTAACCCCTTACAACCCAGTTAAGACAACCATACACAGTCATAAGGTGAAGGAAGAAAGTACCTTACCTCATTTATAGCTTGTGTCACCTCAAGCTCCAACCGTGTGTCCGAGAGTCGACAGCTAGTGATTTGCTCAGCACAAAACTTTCTAACATTTCTCGCAGAAAATCCTCTCACTTCCCCGTGTTCATATGACAGACGCTCTGATATAATTTCCGATGACAGGCCTTGTTTTGCCATCTCCATGATCACGTCTGAGTATTTTTCCAACGTCATGATGTCCACACTACAGTGTTTGCCATAAGTTTGCGCATCACTTGTACAGGTTGTTGACCTACTAAAACTTCCGGTTCAGACAAAATAAATAAAGGGCCCTTTCTCGTTCTTTTTTTTTGGGTTTTTCGTTTCTGATGTGCGAAAGGACAAAATGAAAAAAACAATTGTTTTACGTTTTTCATTTTAGCTTTTAAGTTGAGAATTAAATAAGTGTCTCATTTTCTTTTTTAAATTATACTTTCTGAAACGAAACTTCAAATACCGAAAAGTACACGGACCGAAAACAATAGACTACTAATACATTCTAATTCCGTTGTTTTCATTCAAACTCTGTTCTGTACATTTCAATTCAGTTTTTTTTATTCTAATTGTTTTCATTCAAACTCTGTTCTGTACATTCTAATTGCGTTTTTTTTCATGCAAACTCTGTTCTGTACATTCTAATTCCGTTGTTTTCATTTAAACTCTGTTCTGTACATTCTAATTCCGTTGTTTTCATTCAAACTCTATTCTGTACATTCTAATTCCGTTGTTTTCATTCAAACTCTGTTCCGTACATTTCAATTCTGTTTTTTTTAATTCTAATTCCGTTGTTTTCATTCAAACTCTGTTGTGTACATTCTAATTCCGTTTTTTTTCATTCAAACTCTGTTCTGTACATTTCAATTCTGTTGTTTTGATTCAAATTCCATTGTTTTCTTTCAAATTCTGTTCTCTATTCTAATTCCGTTGTTTTCATTCTAATTCTGTTGTTTGTTTTAATATTCCATTGTTTTCATTCTAATTCTGTTGTTTTCATTCAAATTCCATTGTTTTGATTCAAATTCAGTTCTGTTCATTCTAATTTCGTTGTTTTCATTCAAACTCTGTTCTGTACATTCTAATTCTCTTGTTCTCATTCAAATTCCGTTTTTTTCATTCAAACTCTGTTCTATACATTTCAATTCTGTTGTTTTGATTCAAATTCCATTGTTTTTCCATTGAACTGAATTTGAATCAAAACAATGGAATTTGAATGAAAACAACAGAATTAGAATGAAAACAATAGACTACTAATACATTCTAATTCCGTTGTTTTCATTCAAACTCTGTTCTGTACATTTCAATTCAGTTTTTTTTATTCTAATTGTTTTCATTCAAACTCTGTTCTGTACATTCTAATTCCGTTTTTTTTCATGCAAACTCTGTTCTGTACATTCTAATTCCGTTGTTTTCATTCAAACTCTGTTCTGTACTTTCTATTTCCGTTGTGTTCATTCAAACTCTGTTCTGTACATTCTATTTCCGTTGTTTTCATTCAAACTCTGTTCTGTACATTCTAATTCCTTTGATATCATTCAAACTCTGTTCTGTACATTTTAATTCCGTTGTTTTTATTTAATGTCGGTTCTGTACATTCTAATTCTCTTGTTTTCATTCAAATTCTGTTCTGTACATTCTAATTCTGTTGTTTTGATTCAAATTCCATTGTTTTTCCATTGAACTGAATTTGAATGAAAACAATGGAATTTGAATGAAAACAACAGAATTAGAATGAAAACAATGGACTATTAATACATTCTAATTCCGTTGTTGTCATTCAAACTCTGTTCTGTACATTTCAATTCAGTTTTTTTTATTCTAATTCCATTGTTTTCATTCAAACTCTGTTCTGTACATTCTAATTCTGTTTTTTTCATTCAAACTCTGTTCTGTACATTCTAATTCCGTTTTTTTCATTCAAACTCTGTTCTGTACATTTCTATTCTTTTGTTTTTATTCAAATTCCATTGTTTTTATTCAAACTCTGTTTTGGACATTCTACTTCCGTTTTTCATTCAAACTCTGTTCTGTACATTCTAATTCTGTTGTTTTCATTCAAAGTCTGTTCTGTACATTCTAATTCCGTTGTTTTCATTCAAACTCTGTTCTGTACATTCTAATTCCGTTGTTTTCATTCAAAATCTATTCTGTACATTCTAATTCCGTTGTTTTCATTCAAACTCTGTTCTGTACATTTCAATTCTGTTTTTTTTATTCTAATTCCGTTGTTTTCATTCAAACTCTGTTCTGTCCATTCAAATTCTGTTGTTTACTTTCAAACTCTGTTCTGTACATTCTAATTCCGTTTTTTTCATTCAAACTCTGTTCTGTACATTTCAATTCTTTTGTTTTTATTCACATTCCATTGTTTTTATTCAAACTCTGTTTTGTACATTCTACTTCCGTTTTTCATTCAAACTCTGTTCTGTACATTCTAATTCTGTTGTTTTCATTCAAAGTCTGTTCTGTACATTCTAATTCCGTTGTTTTCATTCAAACTCTATTCTGTACATTCTAATTCCGTTGTTTTCATTCAAAATCTATTCTGTACATTCTAATTCCGTTGTTTTCATTCAAACTCTGTTCTGTACATTTCAATTCTGTTTTTTTTTATTCTAATTCCGTTGTTTTCATTCAAACTCTGTTCTGTCCATTCAAATTCTGTTGTTTACTTTCAAACTCTGTTCTGTACATTCTAATTCCGTTTTTTTCATTCAAACTCTGTTCTGTACATTTCAATTCTTTTGTTTTTATTCAAATTCCATTGTTTTTATTCAAACTCTGTTTTGTACATTCTACTTCCGTTTTTCATTCAAACTCTGTTCTCTACATTCTAATTCTGTTTTTTTCATTCAAATTCTGTTCTCTACATTCTAATTCCGTTGTTTTCATTCAAACTCTGTTCTCTACATTCTAATTCCGTTGTTTTCATTCTAACTCTGTTCTGTACATTCTAATTCCGTTGTTTTCATTCTAATTCTGTTGTTTGTTTTAATATTCCATTGTTTTCAATCAAATTCTGTTGTTTTCATTCAAATTCCGTTGTTTTCACTTTAATTCCGTTTTTTCTTCATTCAAACTCTGTTCTGTTCATTCTAATTTCGTTTATTTTTTCATTCAAACTCTGTTCTGTACATTCTAATTCCATTTTTTTTCATTCAAACTCTGTTCTGTACATTTCAATTCTGTTGTTTTGATTCAAATTCTATTGTTTTT